CCCTGCCAGCAGCACTCGCCAGCCCGGCGTGTTCTTCTTTTCCAGTGCCGGGATATAATTAGTTCCTCCGGAGCCGTCACTCTCCGCCACGCAACGCTGGCTTTTCTTAGGAATATGACTAACTGGCAAATGATTAAACGGGCTCGGGGAAGGAGGAGGGGGAAGTGCCTTTTTTATTTTTTGTCCCTCCAAACTTCAGGAGCCACTTTGCGGTGCCGGAGAGAGGAATAAACTTTGACAGGGCTGGAGGAGGGACGTGGGAGCCACCCGCCAGTCACGGGCTCATCTCCTGCAGCCGAGAGCTGAGCCGCGGCCTCCGGAGAGCCCGAAACTGGATCCAGCTCTTTCAGATGGGTTATTTCGGAGAGGTTTTGTGTTTTGTTGGAAGATATTTTTGGAAGAAGATAAGGCGGTCGGCAGCTCTCCTGGGAATCCTTCTGTCCCGAGTCGTTGCTGTTGAAGGACTCGGCTCAGACCACGGAGGAACAGCACAGAGAAACTGGATTTCCCAAATCCAGTGACCTCCTCCTCTTGGGGGATGATTGGGAAACTTTGGCAAAACCAAAGCTTGGCCTTTCTGCTGGGTCTGAGGCTAAAGAAAACGAGAGGCCCCAAAAATTCAAACCCAGAGGGTTATCTCTGGTTTTATACCACCCATGAGAAACCAGGGAAATAAGGGTAAAATCCCCACTCAATCTTTTGCTTAACTGCACCTTGGGGCCAAGTTAATGAAAAAATTTCCATTTTGCTCTGTCTGGTGACTTCACACATCCCATAATGTCCATTCCTGGCCTGACAATTCACCCTCTGATCCTCCCACCCCACGCCTGTCCCCACGTTTCGGGGGACACCTCGGGCGCAGGGGCACGGCGGCGGGGTTGCCGTCCCTCCATCCGTGCCGGCAGCAGGCACCGGCGTGCTTTGGCTCTTTTATGCCGAAGCGAGATGGCAAAGAATTTTGAAGGAATAAACTGGAGTTTTTCCAAACTCGTAGCCTTTTTGCTTGGAGAAATATTGTGACTCAAAATCTGAAAATGAACAGCTTAACATAAAAAAAAAAAAAATTTAACGAAGAGGATCTGGGTCCCTCCATCCGTGCCGGCAGCAGGCACCGGCGTGCTTTGGCTCTTTTATGCCGAAGCGAGATGGCAAAGAATTTTGAAGGAATAAACTGGAGTTTTTCCAAACTCGTAGCCTTTTTGCTTGGAGAAATATTGTGACTCAAAATCTGAAAATGAACAGCTTAACATAAAAAAAAAAAAAATTTAACGAAGAGGATCTGGGAAGGATTGTCAAGAATAACACGTTTTCCCCATCACCACCACGTGCTCCCTCATGTGATTTTTTGCTCCCTTCCCTGAGCAGCTGAGGGTTTGCTGGTGCCAGGGGGGAAGCAAAGGGACCTGGTGGAGTTTCGTAACGGAGCAATCTTCTGGCACCCATGTATTTTCCCTCAGCTTGTCCAGTTGATGGGGAAGGGGGACCTACACATGTGGCTTGGACTTGAAAAACACATGGCAACTTGATGGTGCCCCCAGTCACAGCCAAACATCCACCCACATGGGTTTCATCACCCAGAGACCACCTGAGACGCGCTGCTGAGACAAGACTTTCCACCAGCAACAGCCCCCTGAATGTGCAGAGTCCTCACGACCTGCAGACGCTGCTGCAGACCTGAGACTTTTAAAACACGGAGCGTATTTCAAACTGCCCATCGCTAGGAGAACAAAGGAACGACAGACCCAACTGCAGGGGATGTGAAGGTGTCAAGACCAGGAGGTCTCGCAGGGTCTGAAATCTGTGCCGACGTTTAGAGCAAAAGACCAAGATGACCCTCGCGCTATCCTGCCCGTCCCACCTCCTTTTTCACTTTACATCCTCTGAACCATCACTTAGAGACATCCCATCCCACTCGGCTGCTGCTTTCAGGAACCAGCCAAAGCGGGTGGGCTGGGTGGACGGGAACAAATCCTGCAGACCGGAGTCACTTGGCAGGAGCAGGAGGGAAGCACAGAAGTAGCCCCGAGGTTAATTCGCGCATAGCAGCAAACGCCAGCAGGACCCACATTGAGAATTAACGATGTTTGAGGGGATTGCTTCCTTTGACAGATGCCCAGGACTCTAATGGGAAGGTTTGACTTGTCTCAGGGGCCTTTGCCAGTCTATGTAGTGAAGGGTGTCCCTGCCCATGGCAGGGGGGTTGGAAACTGGGTGATCTTTGAGGTCCCTTCCAACCCAAACCATTCTGTGATTGTATTTTCTTTCTGGTACCAATCAGATACGATTTGTTTTAAACATACGCTAAGCTGAGCTGGCACGGTGACTTCCAACGCTCCTGCTGGTAACTAGAACATGCCAAGTGCCAACACCGATTCACAACCACCCTCTGTTCCCAAAGTCTCTGGGGCAGAGCCTCCCGACAAACAAACCAGTTTTCCCATCTGCTGGATTAGAAGCAAAAGGGCAACGCCGGGTTTAACCAGCCGCTGGTTACTGGAGACGATAACCACCACGGGATGGTCTTCACCCTCACTCCGGCGCTACGTCCTGGAGAAGACCTGAAGTGACAAGTGCCAGTATCAATCCTGCTAAACCCCCGTTGCTTTCAGACATTCGGACTGAGGTCGTTCACCCTCAACAAAATGAGTTCTGGGCAATAACTCTTCCTGAAGTGACTGAAAGTCAAACTCACGTTCACTAGAGTTAAAACGAGCTCCGTTTATTTATTGCTAATGGGTGACCCAGCAGGACAAGGACCAGACAGTATTTTGGATTTAAAATGTTGTTTGTACAGAGCAGTTGTTGTTTTCGAACCTCATTTGCTTCTGCTGCGTTCTGACCTAGTCCCGGGAATTCCTGCTCACGGGAGCAGCCTTTGGTCAATTTTTCCCCCCTTATAAAAGGGAACTCCAGTGAACGACACAGAAATTACGACCTGTCCCGCAATGAACCCGACAAAGCTCCAGGCATATGGTACTATTTTTGCTTTTAAATGTCTCTGTTCCAGATCAGTCAGATGATATTTGCAACAAAGCCCTACGGAGTCCAACAGCAAGGGGTGAAAGAGGGAGAAGGAAAAAGGAAATCACGGGAAAAGGCAACGGCAGAGCTACAGGGGATGCTCAAGAGATTAAGGAATACCAGCAGTAGGATGGGTGTCAGGGAAAAAAGGCCCTGGGTGACCTCTCCTCGGTTTACCAGCACATCAGTTATAATCTACACCACTGAATTATTAATTTCTCTTGGTTTAAATCGCTTACACACACGAGAACAGAGGGGTGGGGATCCCTCAGCCAGGCAGCACGGAGGGTGAGCGACTAACCAATTATTTCTTTCTGCCTCGGACTGAAATTCAAGGAAAGGCATTGGGGCCATGTGCATTTGATCATACATGACCTTTATTGGAGACAGGTGGGGTCATTTATTATACAGAAGTAACATCACACCATTCTTTTCCAATTTAATTCCTTTTAGTCTCCTTATAAATCTGTAGCAAAGTGCACTTTTAACAGTTTTTAATCTATAGTATATATCTTTCAATATTATCTCTCAGTCAGGTATTTCATCTGTAAAAACGTCTCGCCAGATATACAAAATACATGTCTAGTGTACTACATTAATTTTTGTATTTACTGCTTAGATTCTTTTTAACTCAGTGCTCTCTTTTTTTATTTTTTTTTTTATTTTTTTTCAAGACTTAGTGATGACAGGCTTCTGGTAGTGCCACCAGGAGAGGACTCACAGCTTGTGTGTGAACAAGGGGAGAAGACTCTTGGCCAGGAACAATTTTCACACAATAGGAACAAGATGACAAGAACGTTTGCTGTTATTGAATGTCTCTTAAAATGACAGTACTCCGTATAATAAAAAATAATTAAAAAACCCAATGTCCGTATTTTATCTTCTGGAAGAGGAGACGTGCCGGGAGAATGGAATCTGAACCCAGTTGGAACACAATGGTAATGAGTAATTTGCATTTTGAAGACAGGAGTTAATTGCTAACATTAAGTTTCTGGTCATGGTAAGAAGAAACAGATACACACAGCCACCACAAGAAACTGTTTGTGAAATGCTGTTTTCCTGAGGACAATATTTTGGTAAAATATTTTATATCCTGTACAAGCCCCAGAATTGCATAAGTTAAATGTCCTCAAGAACAACAATCACTGGTACATACCACGAACGGCTGCGCTGGGAACAACCAGAGAGGACAGCTCTTGTCTCACCTAACAAGATGAAGAAAGGAAAATACTAATTCCCACCGGTAGTTTAGAGCCAGCTGTGACAAGCTTTGGCACGGCAACAGGACTTCTCAAAACGAAAATTACAGAAGATTTTCTGAGACTTCTTACAAATTTCCTTAGTCTTTTCTTCCTAGTTATCCTTGAGATTATAATATATACACACGTAACGGATAATTACTTAATTTCAGTCTTCAAAAGACCAACAATTCCCCTGTTAAGCAAGGCCTATAGAGGTAAAACAATCAGAAGCATTTTTAGAGGGGTGTTACGACTCCCAGATGGACACAAACATGACCAACAGATGACGAGGAACACTTAGCAAGGCGACATCTGGCTTGGTTGGTTGGTTTCCCTTCTTACACGTTCGTTATCCTGAAGACTAAGAAGAACTGGATTAGTCAGATAAATAATGCTTCCCTTGGTTAACCCTTCAAATTAGTGCTGTTTCTGTGTATTAGCATAGATCAGAAATGCTCGTGGCATCAGTTTGCTACGTATTGAATGGAACGTTGAACAGATCCTGTTTCAGAAGGAGGGCACTTTTGGTTTCCGCAATAGCTCCGAGAAACGCTGTAACTTCACACTTTCTACAGCAACTGGTTGCCTGACATGTTCTTCAAAAGGTAACTGCTCTTCTGCTCCCCTTAAATCTGCAGCAGCGTGGCTTCGAGGCAAAACATCTGCTTCAAAAGAAAAATGCACGATAGACGAGGCTGAATATGGACAGGGTTCTATACCTTCTGAAGAAGAAACAGAACAGCAAAAATAAAAATATAAAAAGAAGCAGTGCTGTTAGTGTTATCTAAAACCAAGATAATGCATAATGGGGAAACTGACAATGCTGCAGAGAGGTTTTTTTTGTCTGTGTTATTTTTTTATAAAAATTACAGACTTGACATTTCCAACATGTCTTAGCTTTGTACTGCTTCTCAAGTCTGAGTCACCAAAAATATCCAGCAACCAGCTGCTGTTCATATCCTAAAATACGCCTTCAGCTGACACTGAATATTGAAATCATTCTGCTAAAATACAGAAAAACGACGATGGTAGAAACCAAGGTATAGCCTCAGGCCAACATTAAATGGTAAAAATTCTACAATGCTACTTTTAAATCTCTTCTTCAGTTCATGAACAAATAAGCAGCCAGGTTTCAAGTAGAGGTAACACAGATTTTGGAAGATAGCACGTAAAAAAAGCCCAGAAAGAAAACTGGAACAAAAGCTCTTCTTGTTACGGCAGTCAGCACTAATCCTCCACGAAATGGCAGGGAGAAACCCTTATTCGCCCTGCTGAATCTGTCCTGGTCCTACAGCAACGGTGAGGAACTGCTTCTGCTGTCACAAATATGTTCCACTTGGACATATCTTGATCCCTTTTTTCTTTTTATTTGTACACAGGTATCTTGTGTCTTAGTCTCTTGACTGGTAGAAGAGGATATAGCCAGATTCTGAGTTTTTGGAAATGTCTGATGTTAACCCATAGAATTCTTCAATGGCCTGGGCATCAATTTTCTGCAAATGAATGAGAGTTATAATTAGCTTCAGACAAAACACCACTCTAAAAATCAACCCCTTTCCCAGACAAAGCATTATTTTCAGTTCTTGGAGGTGATGCTGGAAAGCCGTGCAGTATTAATACAACAATATTTCATTGAATCCAACCAAATACAACAACCATTTTTTTCCACTTATTACCTTATTCGCTATAAAAAAAAGGAAATCAAGAGGAAATAATAAATCTCTCAGAATTGGTGCACTCTTAAGCTGGACTATAAAAAAAAAGGATCCATGAAAACGTATCCTTAAAAGTACATGACATTTTTATATTTGCTTTCTCATTCAGACTGGTGTTACCTTTCCTGACTATAGGTTTGCAACGTAAAGTAAAAAAAAGCAGCCACTGATCAGCAAAGCAGATTTCTGTACAGTTGGGAGTACGTAAGGACCATCTTGAGCAGATTTAACGTTCAGCTGAAATAACTCCAGATTTTAAAGTTCTCGTGACCCTCTTATGTAGAGGAGTCCTGCAAGTGCTACTGGTAATTATACCATGAAATCTGCGGATCTCATCCGATTATGGTCGTACAAGACCTTCCCTTCCTTAGGATCTGCTGGTACAACTGGAACATTATCACAAGGTTTGTGTTTTAAGAGAAACCAATTATTTGCCATATTAATGGAATTAAATGGTCTGCTTCTGTTTGAAGCTGTGAACTATGTGCAGAAAAGCAGTTTTTCATTTCCTAATCCGACCAGCACGGCCTGTGGAGCACTTCCAAGGGCTTTTAAAGATGCAAGTTCTACAGACGTGACCCCGCTCCTGCGAACGATCGGCTGCGCGTTACCCAACTCGATTCTCAGCCAGCGGAGAGCAAACGTAGAGACCAAATCACCGAAACGAAACGCTCCAGTGACCTGTGCTGCTCAGCACTCCGCTGTGCTTTAGTATTTTAAAATGCCTTTAGGACTCTGAATCCACGGAGAGGCTGAAGTAGCCTGAATTTGTAGTGGAGGACCAAAGGGAGAGTAGCCTGAAGTTCCCTTTTATTCCCCAATGAATGAAGTCAAGGAAGCAAAGAAACGTTCAGAATACGAGAGGCTCTGGGTTGAACACCTGCTTTGATGGGGAGAGGGAGTGCAGGGTGACACCGCAGGAAACAGCTTTTTGTGTATGACATTACCGAGGTCATCCTCGAAAATGGAGTGGCAAAAAAAAACCCCAGACCCCAAAACTCCTAAAATGTGAATTCTGCCCAAGTTTCTGGTTTTAGAACTAACCACGGGAGCCTTCTGCTCTTCAGAGACTGTAAGAACCTGAAAGCAAATTTTTTTTTTTTTTTTAAGCTTTGGAGATCAACTGCAGGACAGAGCTGCAGAAATACTCCCTTGAATAGTTTTGTCAAACATTTTCTGTTAAAAAAAAAATAGGGGGAAAGAAACAACAAACAGATGTTTTGTCTCTCTTCTCCAATCAAGGACTTAAGAGAAGCTGCAGCACCGTACTGAGGGCTTCTGCATTCTCCCACAATTTATGAACATAACATCTACTACAAACTGTTAGATACACATTTTAACAGGAAAATAGCAAAAGAACATTCTTCAGTCCTCATAATATATTTAGCAGACAACTCAGACATGTTTTATTTTAAGTGCCAACTAACTTGCCATGCAATCAAGTCTATTTCCACTACTCGTTTTGAATGCAACTCAAACATTTGATACAGATTAATTCATCCTACAGATATTTTTAGTTTTATCATGGCAAAACTGACTTCCTTTTTAAATTTCACCATCCACAGAAAACACAGTGGAACTGAAAGAGGATTATATAGGCTTTATTCTTCCCATCCTTAGTTGACCACATAGATGGTGGACAGCAAAGTTTTACCCAGTTGCAGCTTCAGAGTAACAACCAGTTGACTGTTTCACTATTACTTTTAGGATTCTGCAGCCTCACCTGGCATTAAGATGATTTTTCCCATTAATTGAGCTTAAATATCCTTTGCTCATTTCCAGACAACTACTCCAGTTCCCCAAACCAAATCCTTTTCCTGCATACCATTTCTTAGCATTCAGCTGAATGCTGAAAATCTGAACAAATATTTAAGCGAGGACATACAATCATTCTCCTCCCTTTCTCCACTTGGACAACACCCTGGATGGACACTTTTGCCTCTCTGTTTCAGACAAACACTGTCACTGTTGTGTGACAGTGAGATGTATCACTCAGCTGTTCTAATGACAACAAGTCAAACTAGCCAGAGATCATTTGCTCAGGTTTCTCAATTAATTTAGCTTGGCACAGTATCTGACTTGGACTGATTTGCCTCCTGGATTTGCTGCAGTTGCTTTTCACATATGCTATAGCGTGTTTGATTATCATCTATCTTCCATTTAATTGAAAGTTGGCCTTCCAACCCAATCCAAACAGATAAATAAATATGACTTCATCACTGCTGACATTTAGTGGGTAATAAGGATAAACTACTTCCTATTGACAGCTCAGAGCTATTCATTCATATCACTTGCCAAAAATGCAACACAGCTTTTTAACTGTATTTAAGGGGAGAAAGCTTTCTCCCGTGTTCTCTTTCAGCTGCAGTATCTCTGTACAGGTACAAGAGCTTTGGACTCATCTTCTGAAGTCTACTGACTAATACCTGTTTTGTTACGTAGCCAGTTCACACCTAGAATGTTAAATCTCCAAAGCTTAAAAAAAAAAAAAGTGCTTTCAGGTTCTTACAGTCTCTGAAGAGCAGAAGGCTCCTGTGGTTAGCTCTAAAACCAGAAACTTGGGCAGAATTCACGTTTTAGGAGATTTGGGGTCTTTTTTTTTTTTTGCCACTCCATTTTCGAGGATGACCTCGGTAATGTCATACACAGAAAGCTGTTTCCTGCAGTGTCACCCTACGGCCCATCACAAGCAGTTTGAAAACAGTACTTGGTCAAGTTCAGAGTAGATATTTAAATCTCTTTAGGCAGCAGATAGAATTGTCAAAAGTCCTTGCAGCTTCACTTTACTTTTTCAGTGAACAGCCTACAGCACTAGTAAGGAACTAATTCTCAAGAGCTGGTGAGTAAGTGAAGAGAGAGAGAACAGATGAGTAAAACTGCAGCTACTCCTTCCAGCAGCCTGTAGCATCAGCAGAGGAAGAGTCATCTCCACCATCCTCTTCCCCTTGATCACTGAATCGCCAGAAATCCAGGTGAGATCTAGGTGGTGGTACCTCCTCCGTAGAGGGAAGCGAGATGTAAGCTTCAAGTTCCTCGCACGCTTAGAAGGCAGGAGCAGCTACAATGGATAGTCAGTGAAGAGATCCTCTGGGGCAAACCCAGCAAAACACTCCCAGGAGCAATGGTTCATTGGAAAGGGCCAATGATCTCACATGACTCATGGGCAAAACTCTTGTGTGCAATTTTTCATGCCCTTCGTCGCCTAAACTTCACGGAAAACAAACACCACGTGCAAACGCCAGCCAGGGAGGGTCTTCTAGCAGGAAAAGGAATCTTAAAGCTTCTGGATCCGCAGCTGGGGCAGGGGTAGTGCTACAGGATGGGCTACATGGCTAATCCTAATCAAGACAGTGAAAACTCAAAGAACCATGGAAAACACAAAAAGTAGGAATTTCAGATCAGAGAGCTTTGTTTTTACAGCGTTTTAGATAAACTCTGTAAAAGAAGATGAACTTAAAAAAAAGAAAGCCTTGATTAAAGTTAGAAAACCAACTTACAGGAAAAAAATTAAGCATCCCTCCAGGAGAGAGGAATTACATTCTAGCTTACTGGTGACAGGTCCTTGAATTTATTGTCCAGGAACAGAGAGTGCATATTTAAAAGCTACGTTTTAAAAGCTTAAGTGTAAATGTGTTTGCAGATCAAAAGAAATTCTGTTTTGACCTAAAAGCTAAGATGCAACATAGAAGTGACTGACAGAAAACAAATATAGAACAAGATGGTTATTTTATATCTACTTCTAAAATTTAAAGTTTATCTCCTAGATGGAAAAGAGAGTGAATACTCGCATTTAAAAAATATTGAAGTGAACACTATTTCCAAAATTAGCTGACACAATTACGTACTTCGACCATGACAGAAACAGGAAAATAATCCTCAAAACGTAACAATGGGAGAAAGGCAACTGTTCAGAGCCATACAAGCTATCCAAATCACCAGGAAGGCACCCCGATGCTCAAGGCTAAGCAAAGATTTTAAAAAAATTGGAGAATGGACTACATCATCTTCAGATCAACACAAGCAAGGATTTTGATGCACCTATTCAGACACTGTGCATGAGGCCTTAACCTTGACCTTGAGATCTCAGAGGCAAATAATACATTTTCAATTTTATAAAAAGCAGTTCTGCTGTGGTATTTGTTCTACTGTTTGATATTTGCTTAATACATGGAGATATATAAATATTTTGGATATTAGTCTTTACAGACATGCTAGTAGAAAAGTTAAAAAGTGTTTTGCTGAGATACTTCCACACTTGTTTTCGCCACGTAAAAGCGTACCCACCTCTACGATGTCATCATCAAACAGCAACCAAAAGCCATGGCTCTTCACAATGGTGATATAATGTCCACGATTTGGACCACTGCCAGAAAAAAAGGATTCAAGACTTATTACTCTTGTGCCTCCAAAAGCAGGATCACTGCTCTCCCACATGATTCCAGCTATTACTTGGCAGACTTGGATTTCCCAGCTCTTAATGTTGTCTAACACTACTCATAACATTGTTTAGGTTCTTGGACTTTGCCAAATCGCTTCAATTAAAATTTTGGTCTTTTCTACCTGCCAAATACCATATATTCAAAACACACAATTCTGTAAATATTTTACATAGTCATTCATATATTAAAAAAAAAAAAAGCCAAGTTATTTCAATCACTGTTTTGTTGCATTGACCACTGCTGAGTATTTTGACCACTGCTCAAAAATTTTAGTAGCTGTCTGTCTGAAATATTTGCACAGAAGATATTTTTTTAATTCTTAGTGTGGTTTAGCCTATGGGTGACTGCAGACAGGCTTTCTGCAACTGCTGTTCCCACTTTTCTGGTGCCAGTTGCCCAATCTGATTCCATTCCATATCCTGAATGCTTACCTTGAAGGGAAGGGACCACAAAACAACCTAACTCAAAGGGAGATGGATCAGCAGAGTAAGGGCAAGTAGACTGCCCTGAAAAAGTGGTGGTTTGGGATAATAAACTTGATGGATGGAAAACTACAAGCTATCCATCTACTCACCTCAAATTCTGAGAACACAGTCCAGGGACACAGTGGGGAAAAAAAAAAAAAAAAAATTTCCCCTTGCCTCTCTGGCTTTACTTTTCACTTAGCCATCTACATAAGGCTTAAAACAACCTATATTCAGATCAGCTTTGGGCAAAAGAAAGTGCTTCTCTAGTCCTTCCAGAATTATCAAGATACTTAAACATATTACCTGCCACAGAATGAAACTCCTTTGTTTAGAACAACTAAATGAAAAGTAAAACTGTAAGGGCAAAATATTTAAAACAAGCTCTGAGAACTCAAATGTTTAGAAAATACAGTTTATCTTAAGTCTTTGCTAAATTCCCAGTAAGAACTGAAAGCAGAAGAGGTACAGGACTCCCAAAAGCCCCACATATGACAAGACTTGGGAGAAGAAAAAAGCAAAGTCATTTAACACAATTATTAATCACTATTGTTAAAATATGTAAGTGTAATTATAGGTATAGCAAATCTACAGAAGAAAATGCATAGGATGAGATCTTAAAGTGATAAAAATAAATTAAAAAAATAGCACAACTGTACCACAACAGAAATCACCTAGAATTATATGTAGTTTGTACTAAATGTACGCAATATTAGTGTGCTGATTACATTGTCTTGCTCTTCAGAAAGATGTTCCAAAACATTTGTGTGCTACAGCAACTTATTTTAAAACTCACACTTCCAGAAGGCACTTAGAAATATTGTCTGCCTTCCATGAATGATTTTTTTCCTAAAAGTGCTTAAAATTTTTTCCTCTTTGCTTTTAAAAACAGCATTAAAACCACCACCACAACAAAAATTTAGTAAAGAGAATAAGGCTATTTAAGAAATCAGCAGTACACAGTTTACTCCACCTGGTGGCACCAGCTTCTAAAAAAAACCCAATGGTTTAGCAACGAGCAACATGAGAACTGCAACTTAATTCTATTTTAGTGTTTTTCCAAGATTTGTTTTCATTTCATTTAGCTTTCCTAGAAAGTAAGGTTGGGGGTGTGGTTTTTGTCCTTTTTTTTTTTTTAAAAGACTGCTGTTTCTTTGCCACAGCTCAAAGAAACAACTCATCTGAATCGTTGCCATATTTTAAATCTGATAAAAGAGCAAACCCTGTACTTAGAAAACAAAATTTGAAACAGTAAAAAAGTAGTAAAAAAAGACTGAAACACTTTTTTGTTTCAAAAAAAAAATACTTTTGGACAACTAGCTCTGCCGCTGTTTAGCACGCTCCCATGTTGTCAGCACTGTATGTTATAAAATGGCACACAGACAACAGACACTTAAATTTCAAGAAAAGGCATTTAAGGTCCAGAAAGCAGAAAACCAACGTACCTGCCACAGTGAACAACCACAGCCACAAGGTCATACATTCTGTCGGGATTTGTAGCATCTCCTGAAGTGTTGAAGAGCCGGAGCTCCAAGGGAAAGACGACGCGGTAGGAGAGTTTGGTGTATCGATGCAGCTGGTCCATGTACTTGAACCTTTTTAAGTGCAGAGCTAGGATCATGGGCAACTTTTTCACTCTCATTCTGTACCACAAAAGTACATTAAGCAAAGAACAAGGTATTAGATCACCTAAACCAAAACTTTGTTCAAGAGCAGTTTCAATTTGCAGCAGTTTCTTAAAAGGCATCTAAAATGTTGACAAAGATTTTCAAAAGGCTGCTTTTCCCATGTATAGTCCAGCAAGAACAGGCAGTGTTTATTCTAAAATACTAATTACACAGCTGACATCTGAATGCAGGACAACTGTCTATGTTGACAACATCAATTTTTCATCGCATCAACAGGAAGAAAGAGATGGAATAAATCTGTCTTGCTGCTCTGTCTGCGACCAAGTACGAGGTGAGAATTAAGATTTTTGTGTATAGCATTCACAGTGAAAGCAGATGGGGTGGATTTCAGTGGCTTTACGCTGATTAATGCTAAACTGGGAAAAATGTGAATGTCTGGAAGCACCAGATACAAGCTCTTCTGGGAGGAATACAAAACTCATCTTTTCATTTCTATCTGATAAGGTTGCCACAGAGTTATTTGGTCTCTGCGCTTTTCCTTACTCCCAAATCAAACACAGACCCAGTCTTATGTTTTCTTTTTACTGAATTCACAAGGTGCATTTTCCCAACAACTGCCCATTTTAAGAGAACATCTACATTAGCCTTGAATATTTGAAACTCACCTCTTCTGTGCTTCCTGTTTACTGCGGCACTGCTCACAATAGTATTTATACTCACTGCATAGAGTTTCAGTATTACTAAACCCTCTGTGGAAATGAAAGAAAAGTCGGATAAACAAGGGTATTCAGTCAGACCATCCAGTTAAAAGTTACTGTTAATCATGCTGAAAAAACCCAAAGTACACAGAGAAGATGAAACTCCTTTTATTCATATTGCTCATATCTCCCAAACACGTTCTAGGTGTATTTGTCCCAGTCTTGGGATGTAGTATCAATGTTTAGCTGGAAAATCTGGAAATTACACTCTCAAGTATTAACTGCATACTTTCTGGGCAGGAGTCAAACATGACAGGTAACAAACAGCAATAAGGTGATCGTGGTTTGTTTCCAGAGGTAGCCACTCCACGTTTTCTCTGGTGGCAGAGGTTATGACCTAGAGTCATTAGCCATTGACTAGACAAAGTCTGGATTATCTTTCAACTCCTAGCAATTACACATCCATTACCAGCTATTAAAAAGCCAGAAGCTATATGCCACTTGCAGTATCATAGCAGCTGATAAGCCTTGGATCCAGCAGTCAAATACATGGAGCAAATTTCTATCAGCCAAAAAAAAAAACTGACCACGAACATCAGGACCAGACAACTGAAATGCAATTGCAGTATTAGAATAAACAATAATTTATTATGAAACCAAACATACCATGTTTAGTTTTGATAAAAGCTGACTGTATGATGTAACAAAGTAAAGTCCCCATAAAGGAAAGAGAAAATCAATCTTATACACACTATGAAATCATTGTGCTCGTTAACTATGAGAAACCACTGAGAAATTAGCAGCTTCAGAAACCCACGATAAAGACAAAATGAACAGCACTCTGAACAGAACATGCTTTACCATAAATCAAAGCCTACAACTGTTGCACAATAGAGCAGCTAAGCTAGGCTCCTTCCTTCCAATCAAAGGCAGGTATTTTTTCTAGTCACAAATATTTTCCTTTACCTTAGACAGTGTGTAATTGATGTATTTTGTTCCACATCAACCGAAAGATCCAGAAAGTCCTCATCTTTGCTACTAACCTTGAAAAAACATAAGAAGAAATATTTCATAGCAGTTCAGAACTGGCACATTTCTTTCAACCATTTCTGGAATGATGCAATGTCCTTGGTGCAAGTGGAGAGATTCATGATTTAAAAAAAAAAAAAATATACACACAGAGAGGCCCTTTCTTCAAGTAAACTAGAACTGAAGAAAATGTGATGTGCTGTTACAATCCACAGAGCAATATTAAAAAAAAGAAAAGCCAAAACATAGTAAAAAACCCACAAAAAACCAAACCAAAACAAAAATCTTTTCTTGCAAAACATCTCTTCCCCTTAAGACTTCAAGACACAGCTGCAAAACCAAGTTTCACTGGCAAAACCAAGTTTTTCACCACTTGGAGCTCTGGGAGCTGCAGAAGCTTTAACTCTGTTCTACTCTGCTTTCCAGACTGATACAGCTTTCTGCTGCATTTCAGAGTTTAACAGTAAATCCTTATAGGAAATGCAGAAACAGGCAGATGGGTTTCCAGTTAAATGGGTTAGCAATTAGGAAAACCATCTTTCCATTTGTGGAACAGTCACATTTAATTTCAAAATTCTTGAGACAATCTTATTAATGTCATTTTTAGAGCTTCTAATTCACCATGCAGCCATAATTTTAGATTTAAAATTCCAAGAACAGTCATTTCAGTTGTAATCATTTGTCTTTTTTTCATTCCTCATCTGAGTTTTCTTTTTTTTTTTTTTTTAAATATTAAATCTGACATTGCAATGGCTAACTACAAATTCCTGGTCTGAAGGTGGAGTGGTTCTTCTAATTCTAGATTTCGTGGCACTTCTTTTGCTCTCGAATGGAAGGGCTATGGACCAGCACCAAGAAGCACAGACTTCCAGTTCAAGAAATTCAGTATATCCCAGAGTAAATAAATAGCAAGCAACTCTCATGTAGAAACACAACAGAAACTACCAATCACTGACACAGGAAATAACACGAAGACAAAAAGGCAGCTTAGATCAGCCAGGTGCAGACTGCCTCGATGGAAACAGGGAGGAAGAACAGAAAAAACACTATGCTTTTTCTGAGAAACATACCTTAATGAGTATTGGTTTGAACATAGAGGTGATACAGTCATAAAATAGGCTATGCTCCATATTTTAATAGAGAGAGTGCAATTTCATCTACCCTAATAAATGAAAAAGTGTGCTTAGTATTAAGGAAAACGATCCGGAACCTGTGAAAAATCTAAGAGGTTTGGTTGTGTTTTAAACGTACAGCCTCACAGTTAAGACATCTGGTTTCATTGGTTAGTGTTCCTTGGAAGATTTCATGGACCCACGTCAGATCGGTCTTGTCTCCTTCTTCACTCTCAATGCTGCCATTCTGGAGTTTGCCATTCTGCTTCTCCTGCTTTTTCTCTTCTTGTAGTAAGTCAGCAATAGTGTTAAGTAGGTAGTTTAGGAATTCGTGTGCATCCTGCTGCATATAATTATCAAATAATTCTGGAAAGGAAGAGATCAAGGAGAATGAAACAATACAGATAGTTCATAATATCAAGTTACTATGCTTTCAGCAACCAGTGCCCTTCCCCCTTCTCTATCCTATTACACCACTGTGGGTTTTGTTGTTAAGAGTCTTTGAAGAATGGCACTTTGTTGTTCTCCCAAGGGATGTTAGGTTACCCTCACCAATTCCTCAGGTTGTGAGAAATAGGCGGCTGAAAAATAACATAAAGGAAACTTAGTTTGGGCATTTCTTGGAACTGAAGAAAACCATGATTGGATTTGGGAGTGGTTTTGTTGGTTGGGGGTTTTTTCCCCCTTTGGGGAGGCAGAGAAATAAAGACATTCAGCTATGTTGCCTTCAGCTATTAGTTCATTAAGTCTAGCATCAAGGGGCAAAAATCCCCTACTATAAGTTTGTTATCAAGTTCAAGCAGAGATGATAAATCAACATACAGAACTCTTCCTCACAAAGCAGCCCTGGGAAATAACCACTAGTTCTCAGCATAAGGAATTTATCCTCCAGCAAACGTACGAAAACAGGCTGAGAGTGGTTGAGTCTCCTCAGAGAGTTCAACTGTGACCAACTCGGTGAGGTCTGTGTAGCCTGTGCCAATTTCTAGCAATGACCCCAAGCGTGCTGACTTGCAGCAGACCTCTCAGAACACGATGCCAACATGGAATAACCAGAGTACTGAGGCTTGTGTACACGCTTTGCTTGGTCTAAGCAAGTACAGAAACAAAAGATACCTCGATAATCCTCGTACGACACTGCACAGTCCTGATACAATCTCTGCTCCTAAGCTACAGAGGTGGTGAAATTCACACCACAAACAGGAGTTCAAAAATCTTCCAGAAATCTGATAAAACTTTGCAATTTGGACTCGCTTAAAAAGGAAGTTGTGTTTACATTTTATACACTTAAATCTCCAATGCTTAAATCTGCATAAAAATTTCATTTATTCATTTACCATTTTCTTTCCTCAATCGGGAAATAAATTTCTTGGGTGGGATGACTCCCACCTTCTTCTTTTGCGTAGCAATACTGTTGAAGAGATCAGAGAGGCATGTCAGGAGGCTTTCCTTCTTTCGAGGCTGCACTTTGTATGCCAAAACTTTTTCCCGAAATGGACGACAAAAATAAAGTGCCTGTAAGACTGAGTTGCAGTAGCAGGTATTGCCGAACTGGTTAAAACAGAACAAAAGGAAAACAAACGTTTTTCATATTAGGTCTGTTAAAAAGTAGTAACAGAAAGAGGTTGCTCATTAAGAATGTCACATACTGGCAAAGGAAAAGGCATCTGTCAGAGTTCATTTACTGGGGAAATACTAGCAGGCATGGTGTAAGAGACTCATCCTTGTACCATCACAGCTGGCAGCAGCAAGAAAAGGAAGAGAAGCCAACAGTAATGGTGATACTGGGCACACACGAAAAAGCAGGAAACCACTGACAAAAAAACACTCCAATTGAGGGCTCAGCATAAAATCAAAACTTCTGGAGATGTGGCGTACTACTAATGCTGATAGGGGAGAGCCTGCTGCTCCTGACGTGGAGGGGTGTGATGATACAGCAGGACAGAGGGACACGGACACAGAGGAAGGAAGAAATGGCATCGGTCAGCATCACTGCATCTCGACTGTGCTACAAAACCAGGAGCTCAATGCACCAATTCATGTTAGATTTGCCTGTCAGACACACAAAGCACTCTTTAGACAGCTACCAAGGTATCTGTTCAGTATCTCCTGCCTACAATGAAATATTGTGAGGAGGACATGATGCAGGCAAATTCAAGGAGCAGCTGCTTTACATCTGCCATATCTGAAGACAGTGTCACTTCAGAGGAGGGAGGACAGCGATAACTTCCAGAAGCAGCTGGAAGTTGCTTAACGAGAAGGAACACTCGGACCACTAAGGTATCAGCATATCATCTGCGAGGAACATACCATGGTTTTTCAAGATGTTTCTTTGCAATTCATTGTGCAACTGTATTGTACAACGCTGTTGTTTCTACAAAGTGAAACAAATTCTGGGTTTGCCAGTCCCCAGATATTCTGGTAATGAGATTCTGCATCTCAAGAGCACCGAGAGTAAAATATTTTAAATAAATGAGTATACAAATCTGACTACAGAACACAGACTATTTGTGAAGTGGTTCTCAGAGAACACGGCCGCTGCTGTTCACCAACATTTGGTGCAACTACTGTAGCACAATGATTTCAAATTAATAATGGGTTTGCTGACTGAAACAGAAAATTAACGGTTTAATTCATACTGCTGAAAAGGTTACAGCACTACAGTTGCATTAACATTAATTTATACCATATGCAAACAACGTGGAACAGTTAAAACTTACTGACATGAGGAAAACAAATATGCAAGCTGAACAAGCACATGAATTAGGATAGAACTTAACTCACATGCTTGTTAGTGTCCTAAGAAAACAAACAAGCATCGTGCTAACTAAATTTTGCAAACAAGACAAAAATAGGCAAGAGAACTACCAAAAGTCTGATTAAATATTACTGTTTTCAGATCAGGTACCTAATATATTTGTCTAAAATAATCCCAGAAAATCAAAGAGACAGAGGAAATTAGAAATTCGCAGTCTTATGAAATGGAAGGTCATGGTGCATCTTAAGTCAAAAAAGTTTACAAAGCAAGTAGTTAATGAGATTTCAGGACTGTAATCATGGAGAAATGATGTCAAAAAGCATGAACTCAACTGGTTATACGTGTCTTGCTTTGATGCTACCCACACAGAGAGAAATTATTAGAATCAAACTAAATGGAAGAGTTAAAGAATTAAAATTCCATCCAAATAGCTTTAAAAATTCCTGACAGGAAGATGCAAGACGCTTTGCAGCGAAGTGATATAGTGAAAAATTCACTTTATGGCGTGCTTTTGGTTTTAAAAATGTCCCTCTAAATAGTATTTTAACTCTCTTTGTTCACTACCATGTTTACATCAAGTAACGTGGAAGAACTTTTATTCCTGAAATCACTCTCTTGCACGTTAGTATTTTAGATATTTTACTGCATGCCAAGTACTTTACAAAAAGACCATGTGATGCATTTTATCTCAGTAATTCTGACTTTTTTTCAGGTTAGAACAAAAGCCTTCCAACTTTGAGTAATTCAGGGCCTTGGGAAACTTCTGAATATCTCAATTATTGATCTACCCTCTTCTGTATTATTCTCCACAAATAAACAGTACTACATAGCAGCGTCACACTTTGAAACTGCAATCAGTTTGCATGTAGAAGTACAAAGAAGGTCAGGTTTTTCCAATCATGACCTTAACTTTGCTAGAAATTCTTCTTGGAAAAAAAAAAGGAGGGCTCTAACCATTTGTCTTCGACAGAACCCCAAAAACAAGGTTGGCAAGGCAGTTCTTGATGGGCTGATGAATATTTCCAAACCTGGAGCTACATGCACAGATCAAGGACACAAATAGTGTATAAAGTCTAACGTGACCTAAAACTCAAAGGTAAACGGGTACAAACACAAAGGCCTTAAAGTCTTTTTGTTATGGTTTCTCTGGTATAAATAAATATTTTAAATAAATGCCAAAACATAGGGATTTTGCTTAAAACTGACGGTATTTAGAGTTGACATTACCTAACTTCCTATGAGCTTGTAAAATTTTACACTTTCAATGTAAAAATAAAGTTTGAAGGCTTATTTTAAGATAGAAGATTTTTAAAATGAAAACTGAGGTTAAATTCTAGAACAAAAACATTGTTCCACCCCTCTTGCACTTCAGTTCCACATCACACGTCATCCCTGCCAGGAGGAGCAGTCAGACCCTTCTCCCACATACTCTGCAGTGGCTTTAGCAACAGTTTGACTGCAGGAAAACTGGTTCAGCTCACTGCTCCAAACAGAAAATAACTATTAACACAAGAAATTTAAAGCCTCCGTTGTCCGTGGGTTCAACATCTGATTCTATTTGCAGCGTAACCATTTACTGGTGTTGATGTTGAAGCCATGAAACTGCCCTCTTTAAAGTGCTCCAATTAATTCTGAAACATGAAAGAAGTAGAAATAATTTAGGAAAAAGCTCTGCAGAACAACAGCATAAACGATCAGCCTAAAGAAACTGGTTGCAAGGAATAAAGCACAACAGTGTTAGTCATATTTTGTCCTTCAAAACAGAGAATGGATGTGGTTGTAATACTTCTGCTTATTTTTAGAATCCTATTTTTCCTTCGTGCTATTCACCACTCCGCTATTTATGTTACAACTGGAGATGCCTTCCATTTTTCTCATGACAGTGCAAACCTCAGCAGCTTTGGAATGGCCATTAACACCATACCTAAGGAATATAACTCAATGTGTTGAGATAGTTTGGTGTCTGAGAACACTAACTGCTAGAAACCCACACACAAGTCAATTAAATGAGTTTCTAAGGAGCTGCAACAAATAACACTTTAGTAGCTACCTTAACCTTATTTGGTGTGCCAAAAGAGACATCATCGCTCAGTTTTCCATGAAACACAGCTACATGACCTGTAAACAGAAGTATGCTTATGTTTCTAGTGAGTTTTCCCAAAATTGTCCTTTCACATCATAAATATGATGCCACAGAATCAGTTTCTGTTAACTATCTTCCTATATTAATTGGTAAAAGATGTCACTGGCGTAACAGCTGCCCTTCTCCTCCAAAAGCACTGGCAAGATCAACATCAATGCTCCATTCTCTTCATGGTTAATTTAGGTGGACAATTCTTATCTCTCAACAGATCTCAGTCAAGTCAGATCTATATAAACTGACAGACATAAAAAAAAAGCTTTTTAGAAGGATTCACTGTTGTACAGGGCTATCAGAAACAACAACAACAAAAAGTATTACTACATGTAAGAAAATTATCGATCAAGTCAATGTCATTCATCTCCTGGCTCGGTCCTTGCACAGAACAACTTCCACCAATCCCACGAGTAGCATGTTTTTAGAAAAGTAACACATTTCATTTTAAAACCTCAAGGCTCCCATACACTGTGGCATTAGTGTAAAATCAAATCTCTCTTCTCTAGAAGAGCATATGAACAATGTACACACTTTATTAGTTCATGTCCTTTCCAGCTAAACATTAAAATCCTATAATTAGAAATGTACCTGAATAGAAAGGTTTCTCTCAAAGATTTCATAATAAATATACTTATTTTTCTGTATTTAAGATGAAATTTGTATCCTGGTTAATAATAAGACACAGCACCGCACTGCAGAATGTAGTGTCTATGCAGAGTCCCACGTTAAGTCAGAAGTGCTCGTAGATAAAGTTTTAATAGAGAATCCTATTAAATTCAAAATTAGAATATGAATTAAAAAAAAACCCAGCATTTCAACCACAGAAAATTCACTTACATTGACCAAGCCAAAATAATGCTCATTCACAGGGAACTGTTCAGGACCAATCTCTTTCTCCAAAGCAGAGGCATTGGCGCCCTACAAAGAAACGGGATGTTTATGTTAGAGGGAAAAAAAAAAAATCAAAACCAATTCCAACAGAATTCATACTACTCCTATAAAAACAAAGAAGCTAAGAAAATAAGTTACTTCCATTGAGAATTAGCATCTCATGTTTTCTATGTTCTTCAAAACGAAATCAATACAATGCTTGTTATTATAAAAGGTACCATGGTTTCACGTAAAAACTCAACTTCATCAGCTGGAATTAGAGCTATCTGATCCCACAGAAGGGCTTTTTTCACGTGAATTTATTTGAAAGTTAACAACAGGAAATTTGTTCTCACTTAAGGCTTCAGGTTAGTCACAGTGACCTAGAACACCAATTTAAATTTAGCCAAGAAAGCTTTGTAAAAATACAGGAACTTATAATACACAGAGAACTCTAAACTTATAGGATAGAAACTATAAGGACAATAAACCCCATGAAAGAAAAAATGCCTTCCTGTGATGTGGACTGCACAAAAGGTCTGATGTGGCTGTTTATTATTTGCATCTCATACAAAGAATTACTGAAAAAACTTGGCCTCCGCTGATGCTTTACATTAGAAATACTATAATTTTCTAACTTTATTTCTGGAAAGTACTATGGACAAGTGAAGCATGACTACAAAAAAAACCAAAAAGAATGGAAAGAAGAATTTTTTCAGACATTCCTCAAACTCAGATCACCTAAAAGTGCTTTGGCTTTGCTACCCTTAATTTAAGGCTGATGTATTAAGCTTACAGAGTATTTTGATACATCCTCGAGTCTTCAGTAATACAATGAGCATAGAACTTACTATTTCAGACACAACTGAAGAACACCACTACACATCCACACGGTCTTACTTGTCCCATAAAACAAGAACCAGAGCATACCAGCCTTTTAGTTTCAATTTTAACTTTGGCCACTTCCAATTCAAAGTGGTTTATTCACCTCTCTCCGTTTTTTACCCTTTTTTTTTTAATTCACCAATATCTTATAGCCGAGCTCCTACTTGGGATTTGGTACCTTCCCTCATACTGCTCCATCTTGTTCTCTATTTTTCTTGCTGATCTTCCAACAGTCCTTAACTGCATCTGTGCCATTATCTAAGGAGTTACCATCATTCAACACAGAATCCAACCACTCTGGATTCTTGACTTCTGTTTCAAATATCCCAGTGACTCCACCTATAACCTTCTGCAAACAGTAAACAGAGATCCTTCTGCACAGGTGAGCCACCTTAAAACACCTTGGAACAAATAAAAACTACACTCCAGCAAAATTCAATTCATCTGTTTCCCTGAAGCTAGTAATGTTTTTTAATTGTTGAGAAAATATTTCAATCATTTCTATTAGTATTCTGCTATTAATATAAACCACTGACAGGTAGAGACTGTATAGACAGGTCCATCTAGATTGTCTTTAACAAAGAAATAACTAAAAATCTTCTAAGAAACAGGAAAGAAACCAAGAAATAATTCAGTTTAACAGGAGGAATGGAAACTCCACAGTTGGATCTCCCAGACTCACAGTGAATTACATATATCAAAAAGACAGAAAACAAGGAAGGCTCAAACTTGGTACTATAAAAACCACAAAAACATTCACTAGGTGCTGACAGATTTACAAGCAAGACTCTTTGCAAGCAATTACACAGAAATTTTTTGAGGCATCAGTGCCAGTTCAAACAGCTCCTCTCCTTTGTTTTCCTACATCCAGTCCCTGCTTCCAAGTACCTCTTTTTCCCTCTGCTATCTGCACCCCCCCAAACCCAAACCTAGACATAAGGAAGAACTGCTGATACAGCACTCTCCAAACGTTACTTCAGCTCTTCACTTACATTGTTCTCATCAACACTACGACTTTGGGTAACAGCATAAGAGGAGATTATAATCTCTGAGCTATGTGAACGCAAAAGAAAAGGTCATGCTGGTTGTGAAAATGTTCAGTCGTGAAATCAGAACTGACTGCTAAGTGAGGCTCCTTTACTCTTATGTTTGGCTTGTTTCAAGATTAAGGAAGGGATACGTGTAAAATCTGCAAGCCTGTGAAGTTCAGATCAAATTTCTCTGAAGTCTTCTCACCTCCTCCATGATCTCCAATGCTGTATTAGAGGAACACTGGAAAAGAGCCAACTAAAGCAGGTACCACCACTTACAGAACTAGTGAAACTAGACAACCTGAAACTTTATTAGTTCATGTCCTTTCCAGCTAAACATTAAAATCCTATAATTAGAAACGTACCTGAATAGAAAGGTTTCTCTCAAAGATTTCATAATAAATATACTTATTTTTCTGTATTTAAGATGAAATTTGTATCCTGGTTAATAATAAGACACAGCACCGCACTGCAGAATGTAGTGTCTATGCAGAGTCCCACGTTAAGTCAGAAGTGCTCGTAGATAAAGTTTTAATAGAGAATCCTATTAAATTCAAAATTAGAATATGAAAAATTAAGATTTCTTTAATAAATAAAACGCTAATGTTAAAGTCAACCAGACACAGAAACTAAATCAACTTAACACTTAGCTGCAATGTTTCTGAAGTTTAGAATTCATACTACTCCTATAAAAACAAAGAAGCTAAGAAAATAAGTTACTTCCATTGAGAATTAGCATCTCATGTTTTCTATGTTCTTCAAAACGAAATCAATACGATGCTTGTTATTATAAAAGGTACCACGGTTTCACGTAAAAACTCAACTTCATCAGCTGGAATTAGAGCTATCTGATCCCACAGAAGGGCTTTTTTCACGTGAATTTATTTGAAAGTTAACAACAGGAAATTTGTTCTCACTTAAGGCTTCAGGTTAGTCACAGTGACCTAGAACACCAATTTAAATTTAGCCAAGAAAGCTTTGTAAAAATACAGGAACTTATAATACACAGAGAACTCTAAACTTATAGGATAGAAACTATAAGGACAATAAACCCCATGAAAGAAAAAATGCCTTCCTGTGATGTGGACTGCACAAAAGGTCTGATGTGGCTGTTTATTATTTGCATCTCATACAAAGAATTACTGAAAAAACTTGGCCTCCGCTGATGCTTTACATTAGAAATACTATAATTTTCTAACTTTATTTCTGGAAAGTACTATGGACAAGTGAAGCATGACTACAAAAAAAAACAAAAAGAATGGAAAGAAGAATTTTTTCAGACATTCCTCAAACTCAGATCACCTAAAAGTGCTTTGGCTTTGCTACCCTTAATTTAAGGCTGATGTATTAAGCTTACAGAGTATTTTGATACATCCTCGAGTCTTCAGTAATACAATGAGCATAGAACTTACTATTTCAGACACAACTGAAGAACACCACTACACATCCACACGGTCTTACTTGTCCCATAAAACAAGAACCAGAGCATACCAGCCTTTTAGTTTCAATTTTAACTTTGGCCACTTCCAATTCAAAGTGGTTTATTCACCTCTCTCCGTTTTTTACCCTTTTTTTTTTAATTCACCAATATCTTATAGCCGAGCTCCTACTTGGGATTTGGTACCTTCCCTCATACTGCTCCATCTTGTTCTCTATTTTTCTTGCTGATCTTCCAACAGTCCTTAACTGCATCTGTGCCATTATCTAAGGAGTTACCATCATTCAACACAGAATCCAACCACTCTGGATTCTTGACTTCTGTTTCAAATATCCCAGTGACTCCACCTATAACCTTCTGCAAACAGTAAACAGAGATCCTTCTGCACAGGTGAGCCACCTTAAAACACCTTGGAACAAATAAAAACTACACTCCAGCAAAATTCAATTCATCTGTTTCCCTGAAGCTAGTAATGTTTTTTAATTGTTGAGAAAATATTTCAATCATTTCTATTAGTATTCTGCTATTAATATAAACCACTGACAGGTAGAGACTGTATAGACAGGTCCATCTAGATTGTCTTTAACAAAGAAATAACTAAAAATCTTCTAAGAAACAGGAAAGAAACCAAGAAATAATTCAGTTTAACAGGAGGAATGGAAACTCCACAGTTGGATCTCCCAGACTCACAGTGAATTACATATATCAAAAAGACAGAAAACAAGGAAGGCTCAAACTTGGTACTATAAAAACCACAAAAACATTCACTAGGTGCTGACAGATTTACAAGCAAGACTCTTTGCAAGCAATTACACAGAAATTTTTTGAGGCATCAGTGCCAGTTCAAACAGCTCCTCTCCTTTGTTTTCCTACATCCAGTCCCTGCTTCCAAGTACCTCTTTTTCCCTCTGCTATCTGCACCCCCCCAAACCCAAACCTAGACATAAGGAAGAACTGCTGATACAGCACTCTCCAAACGTTACTTCAGCTCTTCACTTACATTGTTCTCATCAACACTACGACTTTGGGTAACAGCATAAGAGGAGATTATAATCTCTGAGCTATGTGAACGCAAAAGAAAAGGTCATGCTGGTTGTGAAAATGTTCAGTCGTGAAATCAGAACTGACTGCTAAGTGAGGCTCCTTTACTCTTATGTTTGGCTTGTTTCAAGATTAAGGAAGGGATACGTGTAAAATCTGCAAGCCTGTGAAGTTCAGATCAAATTTCTCTGAAGTCTTCTCACCTCCTCCATGATCTCCAATGCTGTATTAGAGGAACACTGGAAAAGAGCCAACTAAAGCAGGTACCACCACTTACAGAACTAGTGAAACTAGACAACCTGAACACTCTGGTCTGTAAAGCAACATAGGGAATAAATATCTGAACAAAGAAATAAAAGCATAAGAATTGTAATTTTTAACAAAAGTATGCTACAAAGAATTTCATAACCTGCCATGAACCAGTGTTGCAATTCATCTAAACCACCCACCTGTACTCTACATGTACCTACCCATTCCATCTAACAGCTTACATGTGCCTTTTTTCCAAGTGCTTCCTTGTATCTACTGCCCAAACTTCGTAAATATGGGTAAGTTAACTGCAGAGGCAGATGAAAAATTAAGATTTCTTTAATAAATTAAACACTAATGTTAAAGTCAACAAGACACAGAAACTAAATCACCTTAACACTTAGC